TTGTTCGTAGCCTTACAGTGCTTGCGTTCCTTGATAGGTTCCCATGCGGGTGCCACATCTATCTGTGGTCGTTGAGGCCGAGAACCCTGCATCTGGTGTTGATCGGAGTAGGACCGGTCGACTTTCTTCTTCGAACGATGGTGATGATGAGTGTGAACACGGCGAGTTGTTGACAAGATCGACTAGAGTTACGGCGAGTTGTCGACGGGAGCCGACGAAAGTCGTGGCATGTCTTGATCTTAAGGTCCACCGAGCTCTCGAACGCAAAGCGCCGAGAACCCCTACCTGGCGCGCCAGCTGTCGATGTTTTACCACCGGCAACCCGCCACGGGAGTACCTGGGACGGTGATTTGTTCGGAGGGGCATCGGCGTTTGCAGGAACTCGATGGTAAACGCAGGGAGACAACAATTTATACTGGTTTGGTACACCGAAAAATCACGGCGCCCTACGTCCAGTGTGGGGTGGATAGTATATTGCGCCCTGCGCTATTTGTTGTGGTTGTGAGTTCTGTCGGTTATGTCTGTTGCCCCCGATCTAGGGACCCCTGCCCTCCTTTATATAGTCTAGGAGAGGCGGGAGTCCTAGTCGGTTACAAAGTAGAGATCCTAGTAGGATTATGTGTAACTAGTTCTAGTAGGATTACATGTAGGGAATCCTAGTTGGACTAGGTCTTCTTCTCTCTTCTCCGTGGGAAACCCCATGGGTCCCGTATCGACAAGGAGTCTTGCGCGCTCCTCCTCGAGACGCAATTTCGTAACTTTCGCCAAGGCTCCCTAACCATCATTGACTACTGTCCCTGCCTCGAGTCGATGGCCTCCTCCCTTGCTGAGTTCGGTGACCCGATCGGGGATCGGCAGATGGTGCTCACGCTCCTCCGTGGCCTGAGCGGCAAGTTCCACCACATGGTGTCCATCCTCAAGATGCGTCGCTCGTTCCCAACCTTTGCAGAGGCCCAGACACACCTCCTGCTAGAGGAGATGGAGATCGAGGCCCGACCACCATCGCCGCCCTTTGCTCTCATCGCCGCAGCACCTCACCCGACGGCGCCCGGGGCTGCAGCACCTCCGCGCCCGGGGACGCCCACAAATCCCCCCGCGCGTCCTCCTGGCGCGCCCAACCCTGGCACTGGTGGCCAGCGCAATGGTCGCCGTCGCGGCCACGGTGGACGTGGCGGTCCCTCGGCACCTACTAGTGGCGCCCCCAGGCATGCACCCATCCTTCGCATATCCGTGGGCGGGTACCATCTAGATGTGGCCATATGACCGATCTGGGCGCCCTCCGATGGCTCCACCAGCGTTCACCGTCGTTCCACAGTATGGCGGCAACTTCGGCGGCGCCCCTAGCGGCGGCGTCTATGGCGGTGCTTACGGCCCTCCGCCTCCTCAGTATGGCTCATACTATGGGGGAGCCGTGCCTCCACCACCGGTATGGCCGGCCTTCCAGAGGCCCTTGTCGGCCTACCCGGTCCCCCCGGCGGCGCCCTGGAACCCTACCCACGGGGGGTCGTGGCCTCAGGACTCCCTGGCTCACTCGTTCAACACCATGACGCTCAACCCACAGGCACCTTCCTCTAAATGGTATGCCGATTCAGGTGCCGGTTCTCACATGACCGCGGACGCTGGTAAACTCTCCACCATTTCCCCACCATCGTCATTTACTCCTTCATCTATCATTGTGGGCAATGGAGCACTACTTCCGGTCACTGCCACTGGATCACATATTTTTTGTTTTCCGCATCGTAATCTTGTTCTTAACAATGTTTTGGTGTCTCCCAATATTATTAAGAATCTGATTTCCATTCGTCGCTTCACCACCGACAATAACTGTTCCATTGAATTTGATCCTTTTGGCCTTTCTGTGAAGGATTTGCACACCAGGAACGTGATCGCCAGGTGCAATAGCTCTGGCGACCTCTACTTATTCTATCCACCCTCCACCAGCTCCTCCGCATTCATCGCCACACCCACTTCACTTTGGCATCGTCGTCTCGGGCATCTTGGGCGTGAACTCTATCCAAGCTGATTAGTTCCAGTGTCATTTCTTGTAATAAAGATGATATCGACCATATATGTCATGCATGCTAAGCTCGGTCGTCAAGCACGTCTGCCATTCGGATCATCTAGCTCTAGAGCCCTTCATAATTTTGATTTAATACACTGTGATCTTTGGACATCTCCGATTGTTAGTGTGTCTGGATACAAGTACTACCTTGTCATTCTCGATGATTGTTCACACTACATTTGGACCTTTCCTCTCTGCCTCAAATCCGAGACCTTTTCCACTCTTTCAAATTTTTTTGCTTATATTCGCACGCAATTTGGCACCACCATCAAGAGCGTCCAGTGCGATAATGGCCGTGAATTCGATGATTCTCAGGCCCGCACATTCTTCCTCTCCCATAGTGTTGCACTCCGCATGTCGTGTCCATATACTTCTCAACAAAATGGAAAAAGCGGAACGTTCCCTTCGCACCATTAATAACATTATGCGTTCCCTTCTGTTTCAGGCTAGTCTCCCTTAGTTTATTGGGTTGAGGCCCTTCACACTACGACATATCTTGTGAACCGGCTCCCCACTAAAACCCTCGCCTTCTCGACACCATACATCTCCCTCTATTCCACCTAGCCCTCCTACGACCACCTTAAAGTTTTTGGGAGTGCCTATTATCCCAATATGTCCTCCACAGCGCCCCACAAACTTGCCCCCCGCTCCTCCTTATGTGTTTTCCTCGGCTACTCCTCGGAACACAAGGGCTATCGGTGTCTCAAGCTCCAGTCAAATCGCATCCTCATGTCTCGACATGTCGTTTTTGATGAATCCTTTTTCCCTTTCTCCGACATGTCCACCACGCCCATGGCGCCCTCTGCCCTGGACTTTTTAATTGATGAGCATGATCTTACCACTCCACCCCCTAGAGCTTGTCTTGTGTGTGTAGGTACCCTGCCGATCGCCCCGGCTGCTTCGGCGCCGCATGCCGTGCATGGGCCTGTAGACGCGCCCGAACCTACTCCTGCACCACCGAGCCCTGGGTCATGGTCGCCAAGGTCCTCGTCGCCCGTGCCGCCCGACGCTACTGCCCCTGTGCATCCCGCACAGGCTGCTGCCAGTGGCGCCATCTCCACGGAGCCTGTACGTACTGCCGGTCCTACTGCCCCTGCTGCTCGCGCACAGGCTATTGCTAGCGGAACCGGCCGTACCGCTGCTACTCGACCGGTCTCCATCACCCCGATCACCAATGCACACTCCATGCGCACGCGCGGCAAAGCTAGCATCGCGCAGCCCATGGATCGCCTCAACCTCCATGTTGTGCCCATGTCGCCCCTGCCGCGCTCTATTCATGATGCTCTGTCATACCCCAATTGGTGTTCTGCTATGCAAGCTGAGTATGATGCACTTCTCACCAATGACACCTGGAGCCTTGTTCCTCGGCCTCCTGGAGTCAATCTCGTGACCGGCAAGTGGATTTATCGTCACAAGCTGCTCGCAGATGGTTTGCTTGATCGCTATAAGGCTCGCTGGGTCCTGTGGGGTTTTACACAGCGGCCAGGTGTTATGACGAGACTTTTAGTCCAGTGGTCAAGCCAGCGAAAGTTCAGGTGGTTCTATCTTTGGCGCTATCTCAGAACTAGCCTATCCATCAGCTGGATGTTAAGAATGCGTTCTTACATGGCACTCTAACCGAGACGGTGTGTTGTGCGCAGCCTTCTGGTTTTGTTGACTTGTCACGTCCCGATTTTGTTTGTCGGCTCAATAAGTCTCTCTATGGCCTGAAGCAGGCTCCCCATGCTTGGCACAACAGGTTCGCCACTCACCTCATGTCCCTCGGCTTTGTTGAGACCAAGTCAGATACTTCGCTATTTACATATCATCGGGGATCCGACACTGTCTATTTGCTGCTGTATGTGGATGACATTGTTCTCACCGCCTCATCAGGCGGATTTCTCCAACATATTATTGCAGCCCTCCAGCGTGAATTTGCTATGACAGACATGGGCCAGCTTCATCATTTTCTGGGCATCTCCGTGACACATTGCGTTGATGGCCTGTTCCTCTCTCAGCAACAGTACACTCTAGACATTTTGGAGCGCGCCGGAATGAGCGCTTGCAAGCCTTGCAGCACCCCTATCGACTTGCACTCCAAATTGTCTACAGATGGTTCTCTAGTTGCTGACTCCACACAGTACCGTAGCCTGGCTAGTGCCCTGTAGTATCTAACTTTCACCCGTCCAGACATTGCCTATGACGTCCAACAGATTTGTCTTTATATGCATGATCCTCACGAGCCCCACCTTGCTACTCTCAAGCGGATACTTCGTTACTTATAGGGTACTCTTTTTCTCGGCTTGACTCTGCGTCGTTCTCCACCTGCTGAGCTTGTTGTTTACACTGATGCCGACTAGGCCAGCTGCCCCGACACTCACCGATTGACCTCTGGTTATGCAGTGTTTCTCGGGGACAACTTGGTGTCCTGGTCTTCCAAGCATCAGCATACAGTCTCCCGGTCGAGTGCTGAGGCTGAATATCGAGCTGTGGCAAATGGTGTCGCTGAAGCTACTTGGTTGCGCCAGCTACTCATAGAGCTCACCACCCGCCTCGCCGTGCCACACTGGTCTACTGTAACAACATTAGTGTTGTTTATCTCTCCAGCAACCTAGTTCAGCATTAGCGGACGAAGCACGTTGAGATTGATCTCCATTTTGTTCAGGAGAGGGTCGCCCTCGGCCATGTTCGGGTACTTCATGTTCCTATGACATCCCAGTACGCCGACGTCTTCACCACGGGCCTTCCTACCTCTGTGTTTCAGGAGTTTTGGTCCAGCCTGAACGCTCAACATGCTCCCGATCAGACAGCGGGGGAGTATTAGCACAATGTAATTATAGTCGGTTCCCTTAATTGTGGATGTAATCTCGCGCCTGTGTGGTTGGCTTGCATGCCACCCCGGCTGCCTATATGTACTCTTGTACACGATATGGAATACAATCATTCCAATTACTCTCACAGTCTGCATGACGAGGTCATAGGGCATGGCGATGCACTTGGCGTAGGCGAAGACCTCGTCGCCGTCCATGTTGCGCAGCACGCGGATGTCCCACATGACGGAGCGGACGTGGCGCACGACCTCGACGACGTTGCCGGTGCCAGCCTCCCCCTTCGTGCGGATCATGGTGGCGCCCTCGCAGACGCGGCGCAGTGCCTCCCCCAGGTCACGGCAGCCAACTAGGAGACCGCCCATGCCACGAAAACTCCGGCTGTAGCACCGACTTTCCATTTTTTCTCTCAAGAGGGTTACTACATGACCTATTAGAGAAATCTGCGCATCCTTCCGCTCCCTGCGTCGGGTCCTCCCCCCTATGACTGTAGACAATGGCCCGCACTACATCTAGCGTCTTCACCAGCCTGTTAGCCATCTAGGAGACTGACCGCCCCATGAAACTTCCGGCTGCAGCACTGACTTTCCATTTTTTCTCTCAAGAGGGTTACTACATGGCCTATTGTAGAAATTTGCGCATCCTTTTCTCCCTGCACCGAGTCGTCCCCCCTATGACCGTAGACAATGTCCCGCTCAACATCTAGCGTCTTCACCAGCCTGTTAGCCATCTAGGAAACCGCCCGCCCCACGAAAATTCCAGCTGCAGCACCGACTTTCCATTTTTCTCTCAAGAGAGTTACTACACGGCCTATTGTAGAAATCTGCGCATCCTTCTGCTACCTACGTCAGGTCCTCCCCCAATGACCGCAGACAATGGCCTGCACTGCATCTGGCATCTTCACCAGCCTGTTAGCCATCTTGGAGACTGCTTGCCCTACAAAAATTCTGGCTGCAGCACCGACTTTCTACTTTTTTCTCAAGAGGGCTACTACACGACCTATTGCAAAAATCTATGCATCCTTCCGCTCCCTACGCCGGGTCCTTCCTCCTATGACCGCAGACAATGCCCCGCACTGCATTCTATTTCGACTCCCCGTGAAAATGAATATTCTAGGATTTTTAACGACGTTGTGCTTTCAGAGGTAGTCGACGTTCCCGTCGACATATATTGGGTTCGACTCCTCGTGTAAGCGAATATTATAGAATTTAACGGCTTTAACGGCGTTGTGCTTTCAGTGGTAGACGACTTTAAACTTCGTCATACGCCTACTCAAATTGAAAAGGGGACACTACGCCAGATTGCATTTGTAGGGGCGGCTCTAGATGATCTATAGCATCGGTTTTGACAGCCGCCCCTATCAAACCGTGATTACAAATCACCGATTTGTAGGGGTGGTTGGCCAGCCGCCCCTACATTGTAGGGGCGGAATCACGAAAAAGGGGCAAAAAATAGCAAATTTTTTTTAATCCGAGCAGGTCCCCACCGGTAGCACCACACACCCACTCTATGGTTGCAGTATTTTTTTATGATTTTTGCACACTTTGCGTCGGCCGGAATTCGAACCCGCAACCTCTCCCTCGCGCGTAAACTCCTCCACCACTGCACCTCACGATCACTTGTGTCTACAATCTATTTTGGTTCCCCACATATTATACAAAACTGAGCATAAATTGATTGTTTGAGGCCCAAAACTAATTAAAATGAAAAATTTGTCAACTATAAAGTTTTATAACTTTTCGAGATCTACAACTTTTATTTCGATAGTTTCTCTATCCGAGGTCACTTATAAAATTTGAATTTCAAATTTGAGAAATTCGAACGTAGTTTTCCATGACAAGATGATTTCAAATGAGAAAGTTATCAACTACAAAGTTTCATAACTTTTCAAGATCTACAACTTTCATTTTTACCATTTATCCATCCAAGGTCGTTTAAAAAATTAAAATTTCAAATTTTTGAAAATTCAAACGTAGTTTTCCTTGACAAGATGATTTCAAATCAAAAGGTTGTCAACTATAAAGTTTCGTAACTTTTCGAGATCTACAACTTTTATTTTTGTTGTTTCTCCATCCGAGGTCGTTTACAAAATTTAAATTTTAGTGCTTAATTTTTAATACCCAGCGTCTATTTGTAGGGGCAGTTCAATATTGAGCCGTTCCTGCAAATACGATTTGTAGGAGTGGCTAGATATATAGCCGCCCCTACAAATCGAGCCATTTGTAGGGGCAGCTAATAACACCGCCCGTCCCTATAAATCCATTTGTAAGGGCGACTCATTTTGCAACCATTTATAGGGACGGCTCAATATAGAGCCGCTCCTATAAAGAAAGGGAGGCGTTGTCACAGATCGTTTCTGTAGTAGTGGGAGACATAGAACACAACTTGTTTTCATCACACAACACATGTGATGCTCCGTTTTTAACTATGAAGAGGCCAACTTGTCATACAACCACATATACTTGGTGTAAGTGATAAATTGTTGGAGGTATTCTTTTCCATAAAGTTGGTTAAATTTAAGAAGTTTGTCTTAAGGATAATTCTACAAGTTGCATATATTATATAGGCTGGTTGGTCCTATAGGCTGTAGATAGCAATAACTGCTGGAACACGTTGCATATATTATATATTATACAAACATGCGTAGAACAATTGATAATAATTTATATATATATTATAAAATATCTGGTTGTGCTTGCTTACAGATATAGTAATCGATCAATAATGCTTAATCCAACAAGGACGGGATCGGGGTACGTACGCGTATAGAATAAGAATATTGGCAGCATGTGGATTTATACATGCATTTTGCAATATAAGTTGGTTAATCGCCACCTTCAGCTGAAGCCTCTTGTGCTTCTGCTTTCGTTACACGGCCCCCCGCCCCCGAGGTAGCTGTTGTTGCTGCTGCCTCCTCCTGCACCTGCAGGCCGGAGCGACGGCCATACGCGCGTGCATCCACGCTGGCGTGGAAGCGCGCCGCACCGGAGATGAGGTCGTGGATCCCGGCGCCGCCGTGGTTCCTGCGGCGGGACTCCTGCGTGCGCTTGGTCAAGTACTCGTCCACCTCGCCGACCGTGAAATGCGCCGTCGCTGTTGACGCCGCCAGTAGTAGAAGCAGCAGGCCTAGGCACACCGTCGTCGTGGCCGCCGCCGCCGTCGTCCTCCGTATCATTATTGGTGTCGTCGTTGTCGTCGTCGTCGTCATACCCTACCTACTAGCCAGCAGCAGCAGCTTCTCGATCGTTCCACGACTGGCTGGCCGGGACCTGCTACTCTTCCGATCCGTCCTGCACGTAATCAATCCCTCTTGCTGCTTGCTACAACGAATTGATTGAAGCTAGTAGCTATAATATTAGCAAATTTCGGCGGGGCCGTCCATGGATGATATATACATGCACGCAGGTGGAGGTGGACGGCCTGCATGTATGCATGGGGGGCCGCCTCCTGCGCCTGCGCAACTGCACAATGCCGGGCCGGGGGCCTATTTTTGCACTTCTATTTACGGCAAAAAAAACCCAACTAATTTTAGCTAGGTTCGGTGGTGGATGTCGTCGAGGTGGTTACTTCTAAGTAACTTCCCCCCAGCCCTTCAAAGCACGTTTAAATAAAATTTATTACAACGCAAAAAAAAATGTTAATATATATTCTAGCTCTTGGTTCAAATAAATTCTGACTCTTGTTGGTTCTTTTGGTTCACATTTTGTTGATCCCACGAACGTCAAGCAGCATACCTGTCTCTCCGATGTTTAGTATTTTTTACTGGAGGGAATAATATAGCCAAACCTGAGTCTGTCTACCACACAACCATGTGTTTTATGTAATTTTAATATATAAATTTTTTTGCACCATAGGATTAAGATCCAACAGCCTCCACCCTTCTTCTGCCTCCAGCCTCCACAGATCATAGATCACAGATCACATTTTTTTCTATGGAATGACAAATCACAGATCCGCCACCACCACCGCCACTGCCATGGCCGGCGCGGACGCTGAGGCGAGCTCGCTAGTCGCCGTCGCCGGCGTCGGTGGTCACCGGTGAGAAAGAGAGAGGGAGAGAGATAAAAAAAAATCCATGTGTTTTTTGGTGCTAAAACATACGTGTGTTGTATAGTATTTCTGTTAGTAAAAGACATATGTTCAAAGTGTTACATTAGATAGGAGCATCAATCCATCGAGTTTACTGCAGGTTCAGATAGATCAATCTTGGGCTAAACAGTGCAAAAACTTTCAATTTTTTCATGTCGTTTCGAATTAAGAAGTAATCTCTTTTTTTTGGGGGGGGGGGCGCGGCTGGGCTTCGCTTCATTGGTTATATTGAAACGTTAGAAGCTAGGGGGCTAAGCCATACAAAGCTCTCCCTATTGAGTAGTGCTTGCTTAGCGTAGAGATGAGCTACAAAATTCGCCGATCTTCGGGCATGAACTACTTCGAAGGAAGGGAAAGCCGATGCCAACTCCATTACATCCTCCAAAATCTATTCCTCCAAAGCGAAGCCAGCTCCTGGGAATCTGTCTCCACAATGATGTGTTCCCTGATACCTGTCGGGATTTTAGACGAACACCATCCCGTAGTACCTCTGCCTCCGCCAGCAAAGCCGAGCCAATCAGATTGATCCAACGAGCCGAGGCTGCGCGTAGTCTACCCTCACTACCACACACCACCGCCCCCGTTGCACCAGTACCCTCCTCGTGCAGAAAGGCCCCATCTGTATTAATCTTCAGGGTCCCTTCCTCCCGCGGCATCCATTTCACCACTCTATTCGTGCAGGCCTCCTTCTCCGATGAGCCAGCAGAAGCTAGCTGAAAGCAGACTTCAAATGCCCATTATATCACTCTGTCTGTCGGTGTCTTGCCATGCTTGCGATCATTTCTGCTGCTCCATAACAACCACATTCCGCATAAGATTACTCCTCTATCCTCCTCCTTGCAATAGAGATTCTCTAACAGATCTCGTGTCCGTGTCCATGGGCATAGATAGGGGAGCTTAACTCCCGAAAGATTGTTGAGTCTATTCTAGAACATAGTGGCGAACGAGCACTGTGTCAAAGCATGATAAGTGGCATGGTCTCATCTTCTGCTCCATAGAAGACACAAGTCCCAATTGGTTCGATATGTCGTCGGTGGAGATTGGCACGACATGGGGTGAAGTCATGAGACACACGCCACCAGAAAAAGTCCTAATCTTCGGGGGGACTTTGCACCGGTAGAGCTTATGCCAGTGTGGATCATCATTGGCTGCCGAGTGTGACGCCCATCCCTTGCCATGATCCCTTTCTTGAGCTTCTTGTTCCACAAGCATTCGATAGGCCGAGTGCATTGTGTATAACCTATGGCGTTTCCCTGACTAGGCCCAGAGGTCCTCCTGTCGTCATCGCCCAAGTGCGATTCTCTTAACCATT